CTTATTTTACTTACTTGAGGAGAAATAGTGGAATAAATTTCAAAGCGGCACACACAATGAACACAAAGCCGTTGAATTTGAGGCCAAGAGTGCCTTCGTACACATTGTTGAACAGCATGACACCCAAAAATTGGGAAAAGACGTTCACGAGACCATAAGCGCAAAACAAGGAACCTGCATGATGAAAGTCAAAGCAAAATTAAAAAGTATTACGAAGGCTGTTGTTGTTGTTGTTGTTGTTGTTGTTGTTGTTGTTTTTGAGTGCACAGTTAAGGGTTTTCAAATAGTTTCCGCTTTTCTGTACGATCTGAACGGCAAGAACAAGACTTTTTGGATAAATGGAAAAAAAATGAAGCACCCTTAATACCTGGTACCTTAGAACCTTTCCGCTTGGGTCAAATTGAATTGCCAAAATGTTTGACTTCATTTGAATGATCGCAAAATAAGGTGTCACTCATAAACATTGCAGTTTAACTCACGTTGCATCGCACACCAAAATACCAAAGGATATTATTTCTTAAAGTTAAAGGTAAATTGTTGGACTTAGATTTCATCCACGGACCACATTACTACGAAGAGTGATAAACAAAAGTGTATAGACAGAAAAAAAAAACAGGACTGGGCATATAAACTCTGGGTGAAATGGTAAAAGACATTGGTACGTGCCTGTTCCAGTCTAATTGTCTTTCTACCTGCTCGCGATTCGTGCCGCCTGTCCTCTATCTGTCTGTCCAGTCCTTCTTTCTGTTTGTCTGTCTGTCTGTCCCTCCTTCAGTCCACCAGTATCTCTGTCTGTGTCTGCCCGTTTGTCCCTACGTCCGTCTGAGTCACACTGACTGTCCGGCTGTTTATCTGTTTGCCTTTTTGACGTCTTTGTGTCTGTCTGTCTGTCTGTCTGTCTGTCTATTGTCATGTATCAATACATACCCTGTTCATCAGCTCCTACTACTCTTGACATTATGCTGGTAAAAATTGGGTTGACAGTTGATTTGAAAAGGCCAAGCACTGGTGCTGCGAGGAAAAGATATATAACACTGAGTGAAATCATCAAGTATGCTTGAGCGTCGTCAAGTTTTCGGGTAAGACGCGGATTCAGTACTTGATGAGTTTCTACCCATTACTAGCAATCCGTCGTAGTGTTATGAACTTTGCTATGAATTTTATGAATTGTTTAGGTTTTAGCTTCCAAGCTTATCGTTTGTTTTTTGCCATCTCTTGCGATTCAAGTACCCGCAAATTCCATTGGTGATCATGTTTGGGTTTGTCTACTAACCTTACTTAACCCCTCCACTGAAGTTCTTGTGAGGTGTGAGTCTCAAAGGGTAAATATTTTGTTTATTCATTTGCGGGAATCGCATGAAAAGTGTTTGGGTTAGTGTCCTGTTCGAATTATCGGAACCCAACTGTGTTACTAAAAAAATGTTTATCACTCACCGGTGTAGACCAACCATGTACGAGTTGCAAACGCAAGAAGTACCATTTCACCAATCTGACTGACAATTGATATTGCACCGGTTGTCATCTCACTGAAGAACTTCCTTAAGAACTTTACTCCAAAGGGTCCTCCTACTCCAGAGACAAACATTCTGTACGCCAAAAAGTACCCAACGAGCTTGGGACCAAAACAAAGGGGACTTCTCATGACAAAAAGAGCAGTAACGCCCCCAAGACCCAGGGTTGTTAGGGTGACAACTGCCCCAGCGCAAACTAGAAGCAATAGGGATTTTCTTCCACCTTCTCGCTTCTTTCTGAAGACGTTTACAAGTGCCTTTAAGCTCTTGAGATCGAAGAATTTGTTGTCCTTGTTAGTCACTCGGTCGTGAGGTTCTGGAACAAGAAAAATAGCGCCGAGGACAGAAGCTATTTGACACGCGAGTATGAGCCACGTTGGAGCGATAAACCCGAACTTCTGGATCCATAGACCGCTGGTCAACTGACTCAGGACACCACCCATGAAGACAAGCATCTGAATGATTGCTGTTGACAAGAGTGGAAAGTTACCATACAGTTTCTTTCTGTTCCCCTATGTTAGAAATATCAAATTTTGATTCAATCGATCATTAGTTCAGCTTCGGTTTCTGTACCGGTATAAATCAGCTAGACAGAAAATTCTTGCATATGGTGGCTGCGCCCGCATTACGGGCAGAAGTCAAAACC